GGTTGCTTTGTTAATGTTCCTCTTCATAACATTTATTTAGCATCAGACCTAGTTTCGGGACCAGCTGTGGTTGGACTAAGACCTACCATGCCAATTAAGGGTGTATCATTATTGTTGGGAAACGATTTGGTTTGGGGGGAAAGTTGTTGCCGAACCTAAGATGGTTAGCGAGCCGATTACTGTTTAATCTATAGATGATGTTGCCATTAAAGAGAATCCCGTTGTGTTTCCCTCGTGTGCTGTGACTCGAGCTCAGGCTAAGAAACGCTTAAACGTAGCTCAGTATTGTTACATAACCTGAATGTTCTAGAAAACCTTCCCACGCTTATAAATGTAACCAATACGACACGCCAAAAGAGAGTATCTATTATTAGTTCGCGATAGTCAGTGTGCTATAAACTTCGAAAGCTATAACTGTGATTGCTATAACGCTTATCAATTGGAAAAACTTAAAGTTCGAACATTATAAATCATTTAACTTCAGTGGATTCTCATCGGACATTAGTATTTTTTAAGAAAACATTACATAACGTTACGGTGGAAAATCCGGTGTGTGTGGCCGACAAATAACGAAGGACAAAGCTAGCAATCTTCTCGTTAAGTGAAATATATCTTCGTCAACTCGTTCATCGTGAACCCTCGATAAGATATCGAAGAAGTTCCATTGCTTGTAAGTTTGTGTAACTTTTGTTTATGAATCCTTGTTTCTAATAACTATTTGTAATAACTGTTATTGTATTGTTGTGTGTATATTAAAACATATTTGTGCTAAAAAAGAAAACTGTGTGTATCTATCTTGTTGGCAAATATTACAAACTGACCATATATCGTCATTTATTTAAATACTAAATCCAAAGTACAAGTTACTATTAAATTTAAATTATCAATTAACTCTATTTCAGCCCATTTAAAATTCTAATACGTAACAATTACTAAAAAGTTTATGGTAACATCATCTCAGCGCTTTGATGCGAGATCTGTTACTCCAGACCAGTGTAACAGTACAAGTAAAAAGGCAAATCCCCATCTCAGTAACCAATTACTTGAGAGTTTTGCTTCTTGTTTTGGAATAGCTCGAGAAGTTGCAAAGATTGACCAATAAAGTGTTAGAACTACTTGTGGGTAGTTAGGAGTACTATTTGGAAGGTCGAAAGAATGCAAAGTAAATATGGTTTAAAAACTCATGTCTGGAGATAAAAATCAGTTATCTCCAGAAAGAATTGAGATTCTCTCCAGAATCACTGATAAGCCAGAAGTTATGAAGGTTTCTCAACTGCGAAGATTTACCAGATCAACTATGTTGTAAGTAATGAAACTATTGTGAATTGGATGGTTTGTTTGTAGTTAAGCACAAAGCTACACAATGGGCTATCTGTGCTCTGCTCACCACGGGTATCGAAACTCGGATCCTAGCGTTGTAAGTCCGCAGACATACCGCTGTGCCACTGGGGGCGAATTGTATAGACTCTATAGAAGCACATAAAAGCTAAGAAACTTTGTGATATGTATGAGTTATAAGTATTAGTGTTGTTAACCCAAATGTATTTTTCTTTTATGGAGACTTAATAAATGATTAAAGAAGTGAATTTTATGTTAAGAAACTTAAATAAATTTGATATATTGTTTTGAATATCAGGATCAGTTTCTTTAGTCTAACCGTAAATCTCCTCGAGTTAGCGACTTGTGAGCTTCACTCGCCACTGCAATCCTCAAATAAATAAATTTGGTGTAATCGACAGTATAGTCGAAACTCCAAGGACTAGCCCTAATGGCGCTGCCCATCACAATATAGGCTAACATTTTACTGTATGATGTAATATTGGGTATTATCAATCTCTCCTAGCAGCAAGGGACACTTATGGTAAGATAAAAGTTATAAATAGCCATCATTCATTAAATTTGTATTTAGCAGATGGATTGGAGAGACAATGTTCTTATTCATCTTGACCATTAACTGGAAATTTAAACACACGTGTTATAGCTCAATTTAAGTAATGTTAGTTAATTAACATTGATGCATTTGTAATAGTATGTACCTGTGTATATTAACTATGTGTACTCAGCATAGTATTGATTTGATAAATATGGCTTGTACTTTCTGTATCACGTGATTAACTTCCATCACATCTGTAAGACGAAATTGCGTTCACTCTGATAGTATATACTCACAATCCTCCGAGAGACAACCCGTGACCCGTTGGGTCACCCACTATTCAGAGGTTATGAAGACTTCAAGCTAATTTCTATCTTGCACCGAAATGAAGGTTTATTGTGAAATAATTTAATTAAATATTTCTATCCATTCATGTTATTCATAATTCAAGAAAAGATATTTGATTGTTGATCGGGAGTAAAAATAAAGACCATTTCACTTTTCAAAAAAGTTAAGTCAGAGTTTTCAGGTATTGTGATGAATTAGGTCATTATATTGTGGTCTTTCCTCTTAAACCTTCTACAAATAAGAAACAGTAACACTTTAATTTTTCTTCGAATTACCTACCATAAACAAGGCACATTATTGAGAAATTCTTCAAGATCTTGTTTTTGTCATCTTACAACATCTTGTTTTGCCTTTTAATAAAGATGGGAACATTGACAGGGAAATCGTTTTGAACGAAGAAGTTTCATAAAGAGCTCGAACCGTAGTGTAATGTAAAATTACTCATGCTAGAAATTTTCTTAAAAGTGACCCAAAAAAACGGCGCTAACTCGGTAACCCGTGGCCCGATGAAGTTTCGTAAAGAGCGCAAACAGTAGTGTGAATAATTTTTTTTACTGAGAAAATAAGCAAACAAACAATCTCAGAGTTTTAGTAGCATATAGATAGATAGATTCTTTAAGATTTTGTTTTGTAATCTTACGCCTTTTAATGAAGATGGGAACA